CACTTCTGTGTACCTACCAAAAAATATACTTTGCAACAACAGTTGTGCGGTTTTGTATTTGCACGCTCCGATTATTCACTTATACGAATTTACAATAATCGTATTTACATGTGCATGCATTTAAATGCGCCCCATGCAAGAACAATAAAATTCTGTTGCTAACAACACCAAAAACATGCGTAAGGTAGACAAAACTGTGAATAAATTTAAGTGTTTGAGTCGGTTGATTCAGAGTGTTGATTGGCTGATGCAATGGTGGCATCTACCTGCAGATGCGGTTAGAGCGCGGACTGTTGGCACATCGCCCTCGCTCCAAACTCGGGCCAATGAGAGGATGCCTGATGCAGTTTTGGTCATTGTGATTGGCCGATGCCTGCACCATTGGCGACGCGAACTTTGTCAGAGATGATGAGGTAAATAGATGTGGAGAAGGCGGTGTTGAAGGATCTGTGTTGTGTTTCGCTGACGAGGGGTTGTTGTTGTTAGTGCTGCTGTAGTTGCTGTTGCTGTTATGGCTCCCAAAGTAGTGTCAGGCAAGGCCGCGAAGAAGGCGTCGAAGGTGAAGGTGCCGAAGACGGACAAGGCGAAGAAGAGGAGGAGGAAGGAGAGCTACGCCATCTACATCTACAAGGTGTTGCGCCAGGTGCACCCAGACACGGGCATCTCCTCGAAGGCGATGTCGATAATGAACTCCTTTGTGAACGACATCTTCGAGCGAATTGCCGCCGAGTCGAGTCGGTTGGCGCATTACAATAAGAAGTCGACCATCACGAGCAGAGAGATCCAGACTGCTGTGCGTCTGCTGCTGCCGGGTGAGTTGGCAAAGCACGCGGTGTCGGAGGGCACGAAGGCTGTGACCAAGTACACCGGCTCCAAGTAGATGAGATGAGATTGGAGGAGAGGAGAGGAGAGTGAAATGGTGCAGTGTTCTTGTCACAGCTGTTTTGTCGCACTCCGCCCCACTTCACTCCACCGCACTCAACATTGTCCATCAGTGAGTGAACGCATCCCACGGCCCTGCTGAGGGCCACTATCGCCACACTAATTCTTGGTTGTTGTGGGTGAGACGTGCATTTTTAACGCTCTCCGTCTCTCTGCCTTGTTTGTTCTTTCCATGTCATTGTAGCGCCACTTGCCAGGCGCACTGGGTTTGATGTTGGCGGTAGTGTGTGGGTGGTATGTCTACTGGAGGGAAGGGGAGGGGATGTGATGGTGCGTGTGGGGATGATTGTGGCGATTGTGGTGATTGGGTCAACAATTTGGGTGGAGGGAAGTAGGTGGGTGCTTTCGGTGCTCGCACTGACTGGAAGGCGTGATGGAAGAGGTGAGGTGGTGTGGTTGTTTTATGCCGGTGGGTTGATGGCGTGCGAATGTGTGAGTGAATGCATGGGTGGGAGGGTGGCGGATCTACTTTGCTGCGGGGAAAAGAGCCCAGCATTGATGCTTCCTGAATCCTGCTTTGTTCAGTCACTGTTCCCACATGGTCTTGACACGCGTGATCTGTGTTGCCTATGACTGCCAACTCGATGACGATTGAGGGTCCCTTTGTCTGTGTCACTTCATGATTAGTTGTACCAATGCAGGTGGGTGTCTTTGAGCTATACACCGTCCAAATGTATGCACACGTGTGTAGAGTCGTGTACACTTGGTTGCGGTGGTGGCATGGCGCAATTGGCATCAAGAAGTGCAAGGGTGGTAGGCGAGGAGGAAGTCAAGTTTTGCAGCTCAACTGAAGGAGAGGCCAAAATTTCTTCACCGGCCTATGCCTTCCCAACAGGCCTAGTTGTCGTGTAATGCCTCAACAGCAATGCTTTCTTTTGTGCACCCTACAATACTCACGAATCATCATCATCCCTAACACCACCTCCACTGCCCCATTTCACGCAGTCGACTCGAAAGCAACCTTTGCTAGTGGCTCGCCATACTCTCGCGAGGACAATGAGCACACCATAGAGGCCAAAACTACACGTGGAAGTAAAGCTACTGTGACACGAAAGACAAAGCAGCACATTGGTAGACAAGTGTTATCGAGATGCAAAAAGTGTTCCGTGGGGCGAGATCTCGTCTACTCCTTCCACAATAAACATCCAGTTGAAGTGGTTGAGCACCGGCACTCCAGTGCCACAGAAGGGTAGGCGGCGGTAGTGAAAGCAGACATGGCTCATCCCGCTTCCCGTGGCTGGTGAGGAGAAGTGGATCTGCACGATGTACCCTACATGTCGATCTGCATCCACGTTACTAGCTCAATAGAGTCAGAAGTGATGGCGCAACACCCAAGTCCTGTGACAGCAGCAGCTTCAGCGCTGCTGCATGCTCAACAGTTTGACTTGAGTCAATTGGCAGTGGCAGCGCCACCCCATTTACGGAATAATGAATCCCTGAAACGGTTGCCCCTCACGAATCCACAAATGCATGCTCGCACTCACCAACGTGCATGCGGCAATCCCAACCCCTCACCTCAGCCCGACAATGCACCATTCACCATCAACTCACACACGATGAAAAGCAAACGCCCACATTTCCGCTCAGCGAGAGTTCCACCATTCCCCTCTAGCAGGCCTTGGATACCACAATCCCGCTACACACCCAAACATCAGCAGCCACCGTCGCCACAACTGGCCCCCGGCACCACCTCAACGCATGCAATCCCAATGCCTGTTGTAACCAACGCACCCTCGACGCTGTCAATTAGGCGCATTGCATACGCCGCTAGTGACGAATGCGAATTGACATCAGCAACACCTCGCCCCCACAGACAATCCGATGACCACTACTGCATCCTCAGAGCGCAACTGCTTAGCCTCAGAAATGCTGCTTCAGGACATTACCCTCCCGAAAACTGTCTACCAAACCACCGTGTTCCACAAGTTCGGCCACCGCACAAGCCCACTCAGGGACGCAGAGGTAACTTTGAAACAACTACAGTGCCATTACTCACCGTCATCTAACCTCTGAGGACGAGCCATTCGCCTCTGCTATCATTGTAGTTAATCATCCTAGACCGTGTGCCAGCTGTTGAATAACATCGTCCTCCCCATCTATATGTCGTGCTCATGACAAATGATCCACACCATAGCCTACC